GAAAACTTTAGTTTTGAATTTCTTTTTTTTTGGGGTTAATTATGATCATTTTTTGTGTGTAATTTCTGCTTATTGGAGTACACGTGGGAGAAGTTGATTGGATGAAGGCTGGGCGAACGGAGATATGCTTTCTTTTTTAAACCGACCTTAGCTACCTTAGCTTAAAGCTAAGAGCCGGGTTTGATTGTTCGCGGTTTTTCTTCTGCCGAGAAGTTCGTGGAATTGGGTAAAGGTGAAAAAAAAAAATCTAAAATGATTTAAAATTATAGTGTTTAGTTTAATTTAGATAAATTTTTTATTTAATTTGAATATTAATTATATATATTAGTTTCAAATTTAATTTTAGATAAAAATAATAAATAATAAATCGAATTATATATTTTTTAAAATTTTATAAAATAAAATAAATAATTTTATATTAAAATATATCAAAATTTTATATTAAAATAATATATAAAAATTCAAAAATTAAATTAAATCAATAAAATTTAATTTAATTAATTTGAATTGAATTTTAAATTTTTATAATATTATATATTATTTTAAAAAATAAAACTGAATTCGATCAGAGTTAAATGTTATAACCTTTAAAATTGATCGCCGGAAGGAATTGTACTCCGCCGGATAAGACTTCAATCGGAAGGAAAGCGCATGCTTTGGCTTTGAAGTACAAGTTTGGGTGCAGGATTTATTCAGCTATGACAAGATACATCTAGTAGGAGCTTTTTTTTCTTTTTGCTTTACCTTTATTTTTATTTTTAGTTTTATTTTTACTAGTATTATTTTTTTTAGAGCTAGACAAATTTATTATGAAACATCCATTTGCCTGTCTTTAGATGTAAAAAGTATATTTATATTTGAATGAAAATTTGTAAAATTTTGAAAAATTGAAATGACAATAGTTTAAAATATTTGATCTTTTTTATATTGTACACTGGAATTTAAATGTAGTTTTTTTTTTTTAAATACAGTAATCATATTAAATGTTCTAGCGACCCACAAATCAGTAGAGTGGATCTCAATTCCCAAAAAATTGATGAGATAATAATATTTAAACATTCCCAAATGATAATCGCCAAATTGGTAAATAAAAGGTTAGCATTTGACCAATATCGGATAAAAAAAGATTTAGATAAAATTTTTTAAAAATTAGTCAATTTTTATTAAAAATAATTAAATTAAAAATTAATAGAGTAAACGATTTTGTTGTATCAATCAAGTATGTAAATTTTAAAAATATTTTAATAAATTTGATATTTTTAATAGATATTTTAATAAAAATATTGATAAATTTTAAATTATAAATAATATTTTTAATAATTAATTTATATATTATTGATATTCTCGCTAAACTCTATTAATTTATCTATTTAAACTTTTTTATTAAAATTTTTATTAAATCATTTTGAAAAAATTCATAAACTTTACCGGAAATATTTCGCATCAGTTTTTTCTGGTTAAACAATACGGAACAAACTTGAGAATCACAAAAGCTGGGCAAATAAACCAAATACCAGAAAATAGACCTAAACCACCAGGGAAAACGCCCAAGATATAGGCTTACATACCAGAACAGAAAACAATAAGCCCAATGCTAAAACCAAAACAAAATAAACAGAGTAATACAAGAAAGGAAGGAAGGTAAAAACAACTCTGCTTTTCCATTACAAGCAATATTTATTTCACCCCTTTAGTTTAGATTGAAGGGGTTTTTATGCATCATTCTGCATCACTAGCAGTATAGTTGTCACTATCATCAAGAATAGAACAAAAAGGATCTATGCATTTCCAATGAATAATATAGTTGCATCCATGCTTTTCACTCTCAAAGGACAGCGCTATGCAGGGCTCACCACGTTCAACACGTAAGGGGTCGTAGTAAATCTTTTGGACGAAAGTGAGAGGATATGGATGATTCTTGTGTGTGTATTTGCTTCCGAGCTTGACAAAAATGGATAATTTCTAAGAACACATTTGGGTGCGTAACATTATGGCAAACTTCACAATGATAAAAACAATGCTTTGGATTTTTTTTTTTCACATGTCACAATAATAACGTTGTAGTGGATCGTCTTTGTAATCCTGATAAGTGTCAAAGAAAGTTTATCACACTTGTGCCAAGCAATGTGTGGCAATGTAACACACCTTGTACCCAAAGCAAAATCACAACCCTTGCATCTCCATATCTAGGGTATTCTTGTCACTGCTACAAGCACTACACAGACTGACCTTCATAATTTCATCAAAGCAGAGGTAATGTGGTACGTTCGTGTGCTTGATATGAAAACTGTGAGAAAGATTTTAGGTGAATAGCTCATGATCTGAGTAGTTTGATTGAATAGTAACATTGCTAATAGAACTACAATAAAAATTCTTAAAAAAAAAAATCCTGCTTTTGGGCTTTGGCATATGTCGCAAATACGGTGGTACGTCTTAAACTCAAGAATAAGCTGGTAATCGTGGTGCCAAGGGTGATCAACTTCCAAGGGGGAATTCAAGACATTTTTTGTGGAAGAAAATTCTTCGATCAAAATCAAGAGTATGAAGCATCCACCAATGGGCTTGAACATAGATTAGTTTTATAAAACACGCCCAGACAACCCTAAAGCAAATCTTAGATCTGAATCAGTATCACTTACGAAAATTTTTAAATATGATTGATAAAAAATCTTTAAAAACAAAATAAAGTAATCCAATTAATGTCACATTGCATAATTAATGATGATGCTACTTAATTTGACCATTGCTTTAAAAACTTGTGGCCCCATAAATAAGGTCACGTTATACGCATTTCATCAAAGCAAATCCTCTTTTGTCAAATTTCGTATCAAGCCAACCCACAATTTTTGAAAAACCCTTCAACGTAGAGCCTATCACAAGAAAAAAAAACAAAAAGAATATTTTATAGTATAAAATAAAAATATCTAGTCAAACTAATCAATCATGTCTGGCTTTGTTGTGGCAACCTTGTAGGTTGCAACGAAAAAAAATTATTTTGGGTCCCATACTGTTCAGATATTCCAATCTCGATGGTGATCTAACGGTTGACATGAAGGGAAGAACAGTGCTAAGATTGTATTTTGTTCGACAAAATGTAAGGTCGCTGATTGGCATCATTGGACCACAATGGGGACCCTGGTGGTCCTGAGAGTAGCTGATTGGTTACGAAGTCATTTCTTGTTTATTAGATTGCCTTAAAAGCAGCCTGGCAGTTGTCTGACTAATGCATTGGTAACAACATAAATTTATTCAACTTGAACTTAAATTAATCCTAATTTAAAATTATCTATACTTGTATGATTCGAAATTAATTAATTTATTTTAAAACTCCACAATTTAACTATAAAATGAATAATTTGAGTGTAAAACTTAAAAATTTTAATTCTTAAATGATTTAAAATTTTTAATTTGAAATAACTTGACTCAATGCATTTTATTGTCTTTTCATTTACTGTAAATATCTTTTTAAAATATCTAATAACATTTCGACGGTTATTTGTGTCATTAAATTTTGTGTTGAAAATATTTTGTTTAAACTTTTTTTCCCTCACAAATTACATTCTCCCTCCTTACACATTTTTTGTATTTGAGAAAAAATTGTATAAAATAATTACATGGTTTAAATATATATTTTTTATTTAAATTATATCATATACTTATGTTATTAAAAAATTAATTATTAATTATCATATATGATATATAATAAATAATAAATAATTATTTAATTATTTAATTATATGATATAATTAAAATATATATTAATGTGACATAATTATTTTATACCATCCATCATTTCTCCTTTCGTTTTTTTTTTGGGTCAAAATACTCTTTGCTGATTCTCTCAACAAAAGTCTGTATATTTTATTTTTATTAAACTGATTATGTTTTTTTGGTTTTTTTACCAACTTAAGTGATCATAATTAATAATTATAAAAGTTATTAAAGTAATTATTAGTGCAAATAGAGAGATAAAATGCTTCTCAATTTTAGAATATAATATTATTAACTATATCATTTCCCCGTAATCAAAGGAAAAATAAAGATTAGACCTATTGCCTAGGAAATTGATGAGTCATGCCGCAATGACATTTTCCATAAATCAAAGTTGTAGAATTATTAGAACAAATGTCAATGTTTAGTTTACCATTGTTAGACCAAATAAAGTGTGGAAATAAAAATCTCAAATAAAGGGTTCAATTAATGGAAGACCATTTTCGAAAGCATAACTCGAACGCAGTAAATCAATGTGAATATTTTTTATTATATTATTAAAAAGGTATTAAAAAATAACTTTGGAGTTGATGCACTTTCAATATATTATTTAATTAGCCACGAGATCAATCATTTACTTCCTTAAAAAACACAAATAAATGAATAATTTAAAATTTAATTTAATTAATTATATAATTATTTTTTGAAGATAATATTTAGTAAATTTTGAATTTAAACTTAATACATATAATTTTATTTTTTATCCTTAAAATATGAATTCCTATATAAAAACTCAAATAATTAAATAAAATCCTAAGTGATTAAAAAGTAAAGTATGGTCAATCAAAATGATTAAAGTTAATTAATCCATGTTCACGCATGCACAACACATTGGAATCCCATTTGAATCGGCCAGTCCATTAGCTTAACTACATGTTGATTAATAAAAAGAATGTAACATTAATCCCTCTTTAACATGCCACAATCTTATTGGCTTTTATAAAAACTAAAAATATTCCTCACCGTAGAAAATTACTACCGAAAAGTGCATCTATCTTCCTGTAGTAATCCGGCGAACACCGACCCAGAAGAACCTGCCACATCTCCACGTGGCGATGAATAATTGGTTGATTTCAGTTAAAAATATTAATTTCTAATTATAACTTTTAATTTTAATTGATTAATTATAATATTATAATAAAAAAATGCCAGGTGACATGAATCCTTCTTCCTTCCTATATTATAACTGCATTTAAAAAAAAACAGCAGTTTCTTACTACAATCTTCGTTTAGAGCACTCTTCTACTCTCTTTTCTGTCTCATCTTTTTTTCTTTTGAATCCCTAGCTTCTCCAAAATCACCGGAAACAAAAAGAAACAGTCATGGTCGACGAATTCTCGATGTCGGTCACTTGTGGTCTCATGTTATCGAAGCGACTATACTACGGCAAAGGAGCTTCACCAACGCCCGCGGTAATGTCGAGGTCGTTGTCTTCGACGGAGAGTTATCTTCCCACGGCGGTTATGGCTTACGCGGTGGTTCCCGAACCAGCGGCGGTAGATAACCCCGATGTCCCTAGCTACCAGCCATACGTACATGGTCGGTGCGAACCGCCGGCGTTGATTCCGTTACACATGCACGAGGTTTCCATGGAGGTGGACTGTTGTATGGATACTGCGTTCGTTACAGTTAGCGGCGCGTGGCGCGTGCACTGTATAATGGCTGGTCGGAGATGTGATTGCCGGATTGCTATTCCTATGGGAGAGCAGGTAACTAAAAAAGGCTAGTGATTTTTTAAAAAAAATTTTTTCTTGGAATAATAATTTTAGTTTAGGATAAAGTTAAAAAAAATCTTTTATTAAAAATTTAATAATCATCGAAACCTTTATCAATTTATTGCAATAATTAAATTCTCAAAAAACTATTTTCATTATTTGAGCTATGAAAATGAGTTAACCATTAATATTAATTTTCGTCTATTTAAGGGTCTATTTTAATGTTATTTTAAAAATTGGTTATTAGACGAAAATTAGTTATTTTAATGTTACCAAAAGTAAAAAATGCTGAGTCAGGTGGAAGTGCTTAAGCAATCATATGAAGAAGGTTTAATGTTCAAATCTTGCAATCTCTCTTCTATCCTCAAATTACGATATTTTTGGTAAAAATTTTTTTTATAAAATTTATTCTTGTTTATTTATATTAAAGAAATATTTATCAATTGGCTCAATTTGTATAACTAAATTGAAATATTTATTTGTTAATGTGGGCCAATTCATTTTATTAGCTATTATGGAAAGAAAGTAAAAAATGCCGCTTGAATTTGGCTTATTACTTTATAAGTCTTTTTAATACTTACTCTAGGAAAAGATATGCAATTGCTTTTTCACTGTTCCTTAATCTTTTCATGTCTAAATTATGATTAATGAGATTCATGTATTTTGTTCTTAGTCATATATCAGATAATGACAATTTTGTATTACCTTTTTTTTCTTTTGAAAATATTTATTGTAACCTTTCTCTGTTTATAGATTCTCAAGATAAACATGATGTGGCTAACAGGGTTCACTTCTAGGTGTTGAGATTGACGTCTCTGAGACTGAGGGGTCCTATAAGTCGAAATGGGTCACGTTAGCTAATTCAAAAGAGACCGAAAAAGTTGCCAAATCTGGAGATGGATACTTCTTGACACCCCATATATTTACTTTCAAAATTCCACGAGTAATTACTTTATTTTCTTAATTTATTAATATTATTACTTCTCATTCTCTTCACAACATTTTATATGATCTAAATATGTGTCAGGTTGATGGAGGGTCTAATGTATCAATTAAAGTCAGTTGGTCACAGAAGTTATCCTACCAGGATGGTCAGTTTTGCCTCAATATTCCATTTAGTTTTCCGGCATATGTCATTCCTGTTGGGAAGAAAATCCCTAAGAGAGAAAAGATTCAGTTGAATGTTAATTCCGGCATTGGAACGGAACTTTTGATCAAATATACTAGCCACCCTCTAAAGGTATGACGTTCTCATGATAGTATATGGCTTCTGAAATATGAAGAAAATGACATTTTCTTATAACTTTCTAGGAGCTAGGTCGGGAGGTTCGTAAATTAAGTTTCATATATGAAGCAGAAGTGCCAGCATGGTCAACTTCCGACCTCAATTTTGCTTATACCGTAAGATGTTTTGTTAAGTGATAATTTTTTTTATTGACTATTTAGTTGAGGAACTTATGTTGGACTTTGGAGGGTCATATAACATGTGAAGATGCATAATTAAGTGATCATTGCTTGATTGTTGTTATGATTACAGGTTTCTTCGAGTGGCATTTTTGGTGGTGTTCTCCTGCAATCTCCACCATTGTGTGATTTTGATGAAAGAGAGATGTTCTGCTTCTATCTTTTCCCTGGACATAACCTGCAGAACAGGAAGGTTAGTTGAAATAATAAAAAATCCTGAAAAAAATCTTTTCTACGAATGTTATCCCTTTTAGTACTGATGTGGTTTTACTGGACAAGCAAAAATGTGGGCAATATTTTCTTTTGGGATTATTAAGGTGAATGGGTGAGTAGAGAACTGGTCCATCAGTGTTAATGGGTATAAAATATCAAAATTTCTCGTCAGTTGTTAAACTGGCCCATCTACTTTAGCTTTAATTTGTTTGAACCTTTGAGATTCCTCTAGGGTAGAGTCTTTAACATACTTGTTTAAGATTCCTTTATATTTGTATCTTAGCTATTCTTATACCATGAAGTAAATCTGATAGGTATTCAGAAGGGAAGTGGTTTTTATTGTTGACATAAGTGAAAGCATGCAAGGACACCCAATAGAGAATGTAAAGAATGCACTATTGGCATCACTCTCTAAGCTCAATCCACAAGATTCTTTTAACATTATTGCTTTCAATAATGAGATTCTCTTGTTCTCATCAACAATGGTGATGGCTACTCATGGATCAATCCTAAATGCTACTCAGTGGCTTAGTAGTAATTTAACTGCAGATGGTGGTACAAATATCATGTTGCCTCTTAAACAGGTACCTATATTTATCAGCATTTCTTAATTAGTGACTGATCAATTCTATCTGTTAACACATTAACACTTCTAGTTTTGAAATCTCTAAACTGTTTACTGTTTAATGACTCATAGAGGGATTTTATCATCTAATTCTGTTTTATTGTAGGCAATGAAGTTATTGTCTGACGCAAGTGAGTCAATTCCTCTTATTTTCCTTATAACTGATGGGTCAGTTGAAGATGAAAGAGAGATCTTTAATGTCATCAAAGGTTATTTGTCAAGCGGAGGATCAGTATCTCCTCGTATATGTACTTTTGGCATTGGTGAGTTTTTAGGTGTTTGGAAAATCTTTCCCTCTTATTCATGCCGCTTTGGCATCTTTTGTTTTTCTCAATTGATTTGGTTTCTCATGGCATGCAAATGGAGTCTTTCTTAATATTGGAAGTATGTTTCTATAAATAGTTGCTAGAACACTCTGTCTACTGTCAAGCATTTAATTTGTCATATATGTTTATGCCTTTAGTTTTGAGGTTCACATGTGAGTGGAATATCCCTCATCACTAAAATGTAGGATGTAAACATGACATATATATATATATATATATATATACACACTCACACGTGGAAGGTGTAACATGTATGTATGGACTCCTTTACGTGCTCTCATAGGCTCAAGGTTTGGCTTATCTTCCCAACAATTAGATGTTGAGAGATCTGGAGACATGATTCATTTCTGCAGTAGCTAATGCGTTTCCTGCCTTGCTACTAATCTGCATCCCATGGGCCTTAACACACTGCCCAGTGTAATAATCATAGACTTGCACCTAAGTGCTCGGGAGTTACAATCAGCCTGTTTAGTCTACGCCCTCTCTACACCTCTGTCAGCCATTGGGCTAAGATCAAGTCTATGCTTTCTTCTTTCTGAAAAATCTGAACTTGTTAGTTCTTGCTTGTGGTTTAAATTGTCTTTACTTTCTCTTCAGTATGCCATAAATCTCGGGTCATCATGCAGTGAATTATATAGACACATTATGGTGACAGCCTTAGTAGTTTTCCTTCCTTTCAGTGTCAATACCAACTGATGATTTGTCATTATTTCATATTTTATCAACCTACTGACACATCTGAGCCATATTAATTTGTCTATTGCATTCTTGGAGCATTATTACTTATTTTTGTGTTTAAACCTTTTCTAGGTTTGTATTGTAATCATTACTTCTTGCAAATGCTGGCTCAAATTGGGAGAGGCCATTACGATTGCACTTATAATGCAAGTTAGTTTTCTTCTATTTCTTCTTCTTTTTTTTTTTGGGGGGGGGGGGGGGGAACAAAATTTGTCATACTTCCAAATTCCAATTGCATAATATGTCAGGGTCTAATGAAAAAAAAAAGTAATTTCAGCTAATATAATATGTTACTAATCTATATTATGCTGGTAGAAATCAGAATTAGACTTTTGGACTTGAGTGGCATTAAATCTTTTTTACTTTTTTTTCTTTTTCTCTGCTACCATGCTCAAGAACGATTTTGTGCTCTGTTTCTATCAAGAATCAAAATATTTGAATTTATTGTTTCAAAGCTGCTAAAAACTAATTTATAGTCTAGTTGAAGGAAACATCAGGACACTCAATGCTAAACTATTATGGAACAATATGCTGTGTTAGGCTTTTGTTGCTCAATGCCTAATTAAGTATAATAAGGGATTCTAGTAGTATTCATTCTGATTTCACCTTAATTGGCCAGATAACATTGAACTGCAAATGGAGAGATTATTTACTACAGCTTCTTCAGTTGTTCTAGCCAACATAACCATGGACATTCTAGAAAATCTTGATTCTCTTGAGGTACATCACAGCTGTTTGCAGATTTCCTTGCCCACCCTTATGTCAAATATTTAGCTGCTATATGTTTGTCTCAATTTTACTGTTTATTTACTATGAGGTCCTTTTATATGCTTGTCCAAATATACTATCCTTCTTCCTTGGTTTTGCAGTTGTTTCCATCTCATATTCCGGACCTTTCATTTGGAAGTCCTTTGATTGTGTCGGGCAGATACAAAGGAGACTTTCCAGATGTTATTAAGGTTAATGGAATGTTAGCAGATATGAGCACTTTTGTAATTGACTTGAAAGTGCAAAATGCAAAGGACGTGCCATTTGATAGAGTAATTTTTCTACTCCTGGAGTTGATAGCTCTTAAAGTTTCCGAGTTTATACTTGACTTGACAATTTGTTTGAATCTTTTTGTTTACCACAGAAGTAGTTAACTTCAATTCAAAAAGCAACACTTCTTTTTAATGCAGAAAGTTGCATCTTCTTTCTGCATTTAACAAGTCTGCTTTAATTTCCATTTGCCTCTGCCAGCTCTTGCATGTTAAATGACCTGTTTGCATACAACATGCATAGTTTGTTTTAAATTTTCTTATATGCTTAATAAGCCTTCCACATGATATTATTGAAGTATTTTTTCATATCCACTTAAAATAACTGTTTATCATCTAAGAATGAGGGTATATATCTATTGTCCATAAGAGTCAGTTTTGGGTAAATTGAATTTTGACCCCTATAGTTTATTTTCCCCGCTAGGCACTTAACTGTTGTGGTTCCAATTTGTTATTGTAGGGAGCTTATGGTATTAATTTTCTAATAAAAGGACAACCCCCTTCCCGCAAAGCAATAGTATTTATATCTTTTCAGAAATTACCTTCCAAATTATATGAATAATCTTCCAATTGAAGCCTTATTTAACAATATATTTTCATTATTAAAATGCAGATATAGAAGTTTGCGTGCTGATGCATCTACTTTTTCTAATTGTTATGTTTGTTGGCAGATACTTACAAGGAGGCAAATTGATATCCTTACATGTCATGCGTGGTTGTCAGAGAGTCAAGAGCTTGAAGAGAAGGTATGCCACTTCGTGAAACTTCAGTTAACCTTAAACAACACATTGTGGCTCAAGTAAATTTTATCTGGCCTATTTATCCTTAGTTTGGCATTATGGTGTGAATGTCGAATGCGCTAGGTTTAGATGGATGTTGTTGTTATGAATTATGATCGCATTCACACCCTGATGAATATGTAATTTACTGAAATTATTAAGCTTTATTTGATAATCATTTCTTGCAGTCTGGTTTATATGTTTAATTATTCACCTAATAATTTTGAGCTGTTTCTGGTGCAGGTTGCCAAAATAAGTCTACAAACTAGTTTTCCATCTGAGTATTCCTCCTTGATTTTCCTTCAGACTGATAGTGGGAAGAAAGTGCCAGAATCGATTCTGGTACGTGAGGTATGTATTTTTTTTGAAAGGCCAGGAGGTATATTCTTGCTTAAGGTTCTGCATGAATTATTAATGTACTTACAATATTCCCCTTGAATTCAAATATTAATATAACCCCCTCTTTAATTTATTACATTGGTCTCATTTTCTATTATTAGAATTTTCTTTAGAGCTCAAAAGTTGAGACTCACTTCTACCATCAATTATTCTAGATGATATCAACTTCAGAATTTGGAAGTTTAGCTGTGTTTTTCAGAAGTTAAAGAAATTTTGGGAATTGAAGAATAGAGTAGATGATAAAGTTGCTATTTTTTTTTTTTAAGATAGATATATATATATATATATATATTTTAGGAGGAAAAAGAATCCCTCTATGCTAATTTACTTAGTTTCTTTAAATTTAATCAGATATTCAACAAAATAAACCTGCCAACAAAGGGAGATTTGAATAGCCAGAAGATAATTTTGCTGCAGTGCCTGGGTGTCGGCTTTGGTAACTTGAATGCGACAGCTAAGAATATCCCTTCAGGAACGGAGGAATCAAAGTCACCTGAAGGTGCAGAGATTTTGGTTAAGGCTGCTTCCAACTTCTGCAGCATGTTGCTTGATCGCTGCTGTTGCATGTGCTTCATCCAGGCTTGTTCCTATATGAATAACCAATGCTCAATCGTTTTCTCACAACTCTGCACTGCTCTCGCTTGTTTTGAGTGTGTGGATTGCTGCTATGAACTCTGTGCTTGTTTCTAGACATACTACCAAAGGTAGTTGAAGTCTTGAAGACCCAAAAACAATAGGGTATGAATATTACTATCACAGTTATTGTATATATACAATGTTGCAAATCATAGCAACATTTTTATTATAATGTTAGTTATACGAGCATGCCTGAACCCTATATCATGCCGATTCCATCCTAGTCCTTTTGTGGTACTCGTTACTTTTCCTTTTACACAGCCGGCTGATATATGATTAAAAAAGGAGACAAAATTGTTTTACTGTAATGCACTAGAAAATTTTCAAAGAAGTTTAATTACATAGAAGCCAGATATCTTAGGCCAAGTAATAAACCAAACGATTAAGTTCAGCCCAATTCCAAGGGGGATTATAGTTTCCCTGTGCTTCGAGCTGGGGTGGAAGATCCGTCATCCGAATGCGCTTGCTTAAACCAAAATGTGCCATGAGAAGGGCGACGTGAGTGAGCAGCTCTTTACCATTCCTCAGTTGTATTATGTGATCTTTCCAATCGCAATGATTTGCAGCAGAGACAAGCATCTCCATCCACACACAACTGATTATTTCCCACACCTGTTCCTCATCCATCCGCTCGCCCCGAGACAAACTTCGCAATTGGATGGCAAGCGCACTCCCTCCAAAGAATACTGACTTCCCATGCCCTTTCATCTGAAAAAGGAACCTTCTAAACTCAGCATCAATAGCTAGCAGTGTCGTGGCCGCTAATCTAACGCCATGGCCTCTCATTTCCTGGTTGAAAAATTCGACAGCTTCCCTGCAAGTGTCTCTGTATCTCAACTCACCAATACCTTTTCGAAGCATAAATGGGGCCTTAACAAGGAGGTGCATCATATAATCAGACAAGTGCTTACTAATCCGGCAACGGGCACTGAAACTTCCTTTTGGATATCTTCTTCGTTGATCATAGTAAAGAATATCCGTAGCAATATGCCAAAGAAGGAGACTGTGGGTAAACTCTAGATCCTTTAAGCTCCAACCCACTTTCTCGTGGAGTTCTCTTCTGTTCAGCACCAACTCATAAGCTCCCTCGTTAAGTAAACTTGGGAGAGACTTGAAATCAAATTCCTTTTTTTCATATTGCGTACGTTTCTCTTTGAGATTTAAGTAAATGAAATTCTTCAGTTCAAGGTCTACGTCCATCCAAACTGGAGGCTGCTGCTTCTGATCTAATATATGCAGGGATTTCTCAAAAATTGTATTTCCCAGGCGAAGTTTCTTTGCAACTGCAGAAATCGTGCTTGCCTTGGTGTTGAGGCAATATTTTAGAAGGCTGCTTTGTGCCATGGATGTGATTCCTTTCTTCATTAGTCTGTAATTTAACCAATAATTAATGACTGGATAGACACATTTAGATAGCTTCTTGCTGTCAGGTTTGGTCAACGTGCGCAATGTCCACTTGGAGAATAGCTGTGTAATGAGTGCAAAGGTGTCTGCAAAAATAGCTCCAACCAGCAACAAGTAAGTTATGGCAATGTCGACACGTCGGTAGGCATGCTTGCTAATGGTAACTGAGAAGGCAATGAATCCTGAAATACAAGACAGTAAGGCTATGGAAAGGAAGATGACACCATTGACAGAGTTAAGGATACTGGTCTTGGTGTAAAGCATATCGTACAAGAATTCTAGTTCAATGTCTACCAACTTGAAGGCCTCTTCAGCATTCATAGATTTCTCTAAATTGAAGATATCATTTAATTTCTCGTAAATCCGGAGCTTTAGGCCTGAAAACAACGGCATGAACATCTTGAAGGAAAGATATGCTTGATGGAGATATTCAGTTTCTTGGCTTACACCTTTCTTTTTCAAGTAAGCCACCAGTAACTCATGCTTTGGAAAATCGAATTTGCCCTCGGAGCTGTGTGAAATTTCAGGGGGAGGAGCTCTCAACACTTTTTTTTGGTAATTCTCAAAGCCTGAGAAACGGAGAATCAAAATCCGCTCCCCACACTTGATAGTCCCAGCTATGAACATTAAAATGGCTAGAAAATTGAACCCAGGATGATTTTTTTGGAACCTGAAGTAGATATAAAAGGCCATTGCAAGTTGGATGAGTAGGCCTACCAAGTATCTTAACCACAATGCGCTCTCTTCCAAGTAATTAGCAGCCATCGTTTCCGCATTCCCAAGATGCAAGAGAAGGAAAGGAGCCCACAGTATTTCAATAGCATTGGGCTTCTCTGCTTGGCGCTTTAGGAGGGTAGTAAGTGAAGCGGTTGCCACCCAATCTCCTAGTTGGTATGCAACCCAAGTCAGGCGTATAACCCAACGGTTACCTTTTCTGTTGCTTTTATATCCAAATCCAATGAGAATAATGTGCAAACAGAGGCTAAGTACAATGAGTGAACACAGCTGAAATTTGTTCCACAATTCCTTGCTAGAGCTTGGGAGCCCACTTCTGTTCGTGGCCCACCTACTGGCCTCCGCAAAGATCACGCCATTGAAAACTGAAATTTGGTATACAAAGTATTGAAGGCAAGAAAAGAAAGATTGAAAGAGTCCATGCATGCAAAATGTGAAAAATCATGCTTTCAAATAGGATTAATTACCCATGTTAAAAGGATAATTGGGTAATTAATTACCTTACAATTTTAAATTGATAGACAAAAAAAAATTATATGAAAGTTTTAAAACAAGACAAATAGAAAATCAAAAGGAGAAGCAAAATAGAGTAAAACATACTTGAAAGTAGCATGGATCGCTGGTTTTGAATTTTGTATGACCAAGATGAACTGATGATCCTTAATATGCTTAGTGCTGCGCAGAGACCAGATGATCAGCCTGCTTACAAACAAATTTTGTAGAAGTCCTGTGGCCAACCATCTTGAGTACTTGTTAAACATAGGCCTATGAGAAAGGGTGTATCTATACATATATACACACACACTAATATTTGATACGTATGTGAGGTATGTGTAATTTTTATATATAAATTTTTAATTTTTTTGGAAACTATGATAATAAAGGTAAATATGAACAATTTAAATTTGATTTTGAAAACTTTTGATATATTTTGGTAAAATTTGTTCGAAGTTTAGATAACCTCTAATAAAATTTTGGTACCTTTCTATACAGTTTTGGTAACCTTTATATTAGTTTAATAACTTATGATATAATTTTGATAATTTTTTATAAAATTTTGATAACCTCTTTATGTAATTTTGATAACTATTATGATAAATTTTTTGTAATCATTGATAAAATTTGTATCATCTTATATTAAACAATGGATTTCTGCAACAAAGTGTGGGTTCTATTCTAATATAAGATAATTTTTTTATATAGTAACATTTTTGTTTCATTTGAATTTAGATATTTTTACTATTTTTTTTATTAAATAAGTTCATAATAGATTTATCCTAGCCTTTTAAAATGAAAGTTTTAGTGTCATTTCTATTAGTAGCCAATATTCAATTCCTGACAACTTCAAGTATAAAGAAGTTATAAAAATTTGATAATTAAATTATTATCGATTTATTACTATATTATTAGTTATTTACTACTAAATTATTAATGATTTATTAATAAATTATAATTAATTTATAACTAATTTATAAATGATTTATCACTAAGTTACGAATGATTTACCACTAAATTATTGAAAACTTACTATTAAGTTAATGATGATTTATTATAAAGTTATAATTGATTTACTATTAATCTATCAATTATTTGCTACAAAGTTATCAATTATTAACTAATTTATTACTAAATTATCATTGATTTATAACTAAATTATCACTTTTTTATAACTATGTTATTAGTGATTTATTACTAAATTACAAATGATTTATTATTATGTTCTTATACATTTACTATTATATTATCATTGATTTACAACTTAATTTTTGATTATTTACTATAAACTTATTACATATTTATTACTAAATTATCCATGATTCACCATTAAATTATTACTTATTTATATTAAATTATTCATAGTTTACTATAAAGTTACAGTGATTAACTAATAAATTATTGATTATAAAAAACCTATTAAGTTATCGATGATTTACTACTAAGTTAAATTGATTTATTTTTAAATCTCTAATGGTTAACTATAAAATCATCATTGATTTGCTACTAAATTTATCTATTAATTACTATTAAAATGATTTACTAAGTTATCACTGATTTATTACTAAATTATATATGATTAATTACTAAGTTATAATTAATTTTTTATTAACATATCATTAATTTACTAATATTTTGTTATATACTTACAACTATAAAATATATAGTTTAAAAAGTTGCTAACAATATATGAGATAATTTTTTATATAATAACATTATTATTTTATTCAAATTTAAATTTTTTATTAATTTTTTTATTAAATAGGTTCATGATAGATTTATCCTAACTTTCAAGATGAAAGTTCTAGTTTTATTTTTGCTACTAACCATGATTTAATCATTGACAACTTCAAATATAAAAAATTTATCAATGATTAACAATTAAGTTATCATTTATTTGCTATTATGTTACTAGTTAATTACTACTAAGCTATTAATAATTTACTACTAAATTATCACAACTTTAATTTATGAATAATTTATCATTAAGTTATGAATGATTTACCATTAAGTTATGAATAATTTACTATTAAATTGTTGTTGATTTACCATTAAATTATTGATAATTTATTATAAAGTTATAACTTATTTACTACTAATTTATGAATAATTTATTACAAACTTATCAATTAACTAATTTATTACTAAATTATCACTAATTTATAATTAAATTATTAGTAATTTACTATTATGTTATTAGTGATTTACTATTAAGTTATCAATAATTTACTTTTAAATTATTAATAATTTACTATTATATTATTATGTATTTACTATTACATTATGATTGGTTTACAACTTAATTTTTTATTATTTGCTACAAGATTATCATCAATTTTCTACTAAATTATCCATGATTCACTACCAAGTTATAATTGATTTATATTAAATTATCCATATTTTACTATTAAGTTATTATTGATTAACAATTAAGTTATCAATAATTTATTATTAATTTATATTGATTTACTTTTAAGTCTCCTATAATTAACTATTAAATTATCAATTATTTATTTCTAAATTATTATTTACAGTATAAAAAAAGTTATTTATGATTTAGTACTATCAATTAATTACTATAAACTAAAGCTAATTTACTATTAAATTATTAGTAATTTATTATTAACTTATCATTAATTTATTATTAAGTTATTAACGATTAACTACTAAGTTATCATTTGTTTTTATTAAATTTATTTTTTATTTTTTATTCTATTGTTATGCATTTATTATTATATTAGTATTTATTTACTATTGAGTTGTCTATGATTAACTATTAAGTTATTACTTATTAACTATTAAGTTATTGATGAAATTGTTAGGTTATATCGGTTAATTTTAATTTCATTGATTAATTACTAAGTTATTAATTATATATTACTATATTGTCATTAATATGTGTATATCCAAAAAGATAATAATTACAGTATATACTAAATTATGTAATTTTGTAAAATGAAGAAAGAAAGAAAAAGTTAAAGTAGATGGCACGAAGAAAATGAGTAAATACTTTTAATTTGTTATTTGTAGTTTAACATTTAATAATAAGCTAAAATCATAACTTTTTATACTAATATAAGTATTAAAACTAAATTAAATAAATATACATTAACTTAATATTTCTATGATATTCTTCAAAATTTGTAGCTCATAGTAAAAAAGTACATATTAAGATAAGTTTTATTAATGATTTGATTGAATAATTAGTGTGCGTATTTTCTCACTTATTGATGAAGTACAATTGCATATGAAATACTAAAAATTTGAAGTATTGTGCCAACAATAAAAGTAATAAATTTTGCCCTATATTTTTAAATATATAATTTTGGGTAAAAATTTAGTTATATAAAAGTTATAAAAAAATACTAAATAAAATTTGTAAAAAAAAAAAGATAATAATTTTAAAAAATATTAAGTTGAGAATAATTATCTTGGCATTCTCTTTCAAAAATTTATTCTATTAAATAAAAAAGATAGTATATTTTCAATTATTATTTCATTCTTATTACCATCATTTAGAATGAACTTTTTTCATATATATATTTTGATACCAACCAACTTCTACACTTGAAAAGGGTAAAGAATATTACAAAAAGTCATAACAAGCTAAATAATATTTAATTATATGTTATTTTTTTGAATGAGTATGAACTATTATATCTCTTTCAAATGAAATATTTAAATTGTTTCTCTCAATCCATATAACAACAATTTATCAACAAATAAATGATTATAAACTTGTTGATATAGATTAACATTTCAATAATAAAAATTTCAAAATCCTCAAAAAAAAAAATATTTTAATCTTTGTATGGTTTGGGCATCAATATTTTCTTCTAGAATTACTATTAATGTCTTCATAACTTTTGCACTTAAATTTTTATTTTGTTATTTTATTGTTCTATTTTAAAATTTATTACTGGTATTATAAAAGTATAGCTAAAATTAATATGGATTAATCAATTTAAACTTGAAACAATTCAAAACTCAAATTGAAGGTATATAAAATTTTTACTCATTTTAAATTTTAATATAATTAAAAATAAAATGATACACATAATTATAAAAATTAACAAACTCGATTTGATTTCAATTGATTTTAAAAAATAAAAAATTAGTAATTATTTAAAATCTAAAATGATTAAACATAACCAAAATTTAAATAGAAATAGTAATTCAATAAAAATCTAATTTTTGTTATTCATCTTCTGCATCAATTTAAAAATTTTTTATTTAAGTTTTTTTCTTTCATCATCAATGTCTCATTTTTATTATCTTTGTGATTGAATTATTTAATTAATTTTTAAAATTTTTTTAAAGTGGAATTGAAATTATAAATAATTGAATATATTTATTTTTTATTTGAATATAGGATGATTTGCATTCAATTTTTTAAAGAACGAAAAATATGCACTAATTATTGAATCAAATTTCTTTAGGTGATAAGTGAACAATTAAGTATACAATGAATAGGCAAAGATGATAAAACTTAACTCAACTTAATTGATTGTTGATCTTAAGTTTAAAATCCAACTCAAAATTATGAAAAGTCAAAATTCAAAATATCTTAATTATTAAATACATTTGCTTAGGTGATAAGTGAATAATTGAGTATACAATGAATAGGCATAGATGATAAAACTTAACTCAACCTTATTGATTGTTGATCTTAAGTTTAAAATCCAACTCAAAATTATGAAAAGTCAAAATTCAGAATATCTTAAATATTAAATACACAATTAAGTAAAATTTATCAAATGAATTTTATTAATGAATGCCTTTAAATCACTTTTAAGTTTAATTAAATTATAATTTATAATAATATTTATATATTAAATGTAACAGTGATAATTAATTTGATGAAGTTTAATTCTTTTGAACAAATATTTCCCAATATGATAACTTTAAAAAATTTGATATAACCATGAACATTTTTCAACTTATATAATGAATAAAATGAATGGATATACAATGTT